GGTATTTTTCTTTCTCTTTCTGGCTTATCTCACTAAGCATGATCTTTTCCAGCTCCATCCTGAACAGTATTACTTTTTACTTCTTTTCTTCCCAAGATTAAAGTCAAAGCAATTCTGCCATCATTAAGCCCAGAGAAAGAGACCTAGGACACAGACTCCTTCCCTAAGGGTATTTCCTATGGTGGCTGTAGTATTATGTGACCTCTCTTCGTCTCCTCTCATCAGAATCCTGCTGGCTCTACTCTGTACCCTCCCCTCCGGCCTTTATATCAATCTCAGCAAAGACTAATGGGCTTCCTCATTCATTTGTTTCTCATTCCATCTGACAACCAAATAAATGGACTAGATTAGGAAGAAGGGACTATCTAGTATTAGTAAAGAGGAGAATTTTACAGAAATTCATATGACAGTAAATGGTAATTATAGTTTCATAAAGATAGCAAGGTTACCCCCCTTCTAGCAATTCCAAAATTAATTAGCAGAACCACTGATAATGGAGGAAGGGTTAACTAGGAATAGCTTCTTTTACATCCTTGTGAGCTCCTGGAAATTGGTTTTGTATTTAAGCAATAATATTTAAAAAAAAGTCTATGAATAAAAATCAGTGATCTTAGGTGAATGAACCAGACAACTATATCTTTACATGGTTTCCACACTCTAAGGGCATGGAGAAAAAGAAAAAAAGACTAAGTACAGTCAGGAAATAGCAGCTTTGTTTCAAGATGTATGATGCATAGAAATGTCTCAAATTAAAATCTACTTCAAAGAAAATTTAAGTTTCTACTTGGAAACACAGATATATACTTTATTTTTATGCAAGGTATGACTCAAGATGTTAAAAAGGTAAATCCTAAACAAAAAGGTCCAAAAAAAAAAGAAAAGATTTATTTTTGAAAGTAGGTAAGGCGGTTCCAAGGACTATGTATAAACAAAAAGAACATGTGAAGGTAAACTGGGAAATTTTACAGATTATGGGGAGGTGAGGAAGGTCAGTATGTTAAAAGCGAATGGATTATGAAACTACTATAATTTAAACAGACTGGCAGTGGCACATCACAGATTCAACAGGGTAATGAATACACAATATGCTTTAACACATATTTGCTAATTAATATCCATCAAAAGCAGTGTTTCAGTAAGTGGGATAAGATTCAGTATCAAACAAAAAGGATGTTAGCTCTCAGAAATATATAGGATAATTAGAAACTACTATGAGCATCTATATCCCAACACATTGGATAACTGAGAAGATAGTTTCTTAGATGCATACAATCTTTTGAGACTCAACCTGGAATAGAAAAACTGAACAGATCTATTACAAGCAAGGAGTTGAAACAGTGATCAAAAGTTCCCAGAAACAAAAGCCCAGGGCCAGACAGTTTCACTAATGAGTTCTAACAAAGCTTCCAAGACAAATACTGGTCTTTCCCAAATGCTTCCAAAAAACTGAGGAAGAGATACAGATACCACACAAAAACTACAGACCTGTATAGAACTAATAATATCCCTGATGAACATAGATGCAACAAGTTTTCATAATCTCAGCCCACTGACTTCAAGAATAGATACACTGGCTTTAAACTGTATCAGCTGGGTGAACTTGGGTAAGTAACTGCCCTTCTCCCAGCCTGTTTCCTTGTGTTAGTTGAGTAACACAGTACATCAAAAACACACCACAACTTACCTTATGAGCCAGAAGTGGTATATAAGGATAAAGCATGTTCTTATTTCTAGATCTACTAAGGAAGAGCAAAGAGCCAGAGAGAGCAGACGGATGCTTGGTGTGGGTATGAAAAGGTTCAGCTGATCTGTTGACGATCCCAATTAGTGCGGCACCGGCACCGGAAGGGAAACAGCGAAGTCAGGGATCATGCTGGCCCTGGGATCATGCTCCCCAGGCCCCTGGGAACTGTGGAAAGGGGGTGATCTTCCCCTCCTGTGCTGCGGCAAGATGTGGGGGTGTGCTCTGTTCTCCTGGCCCCAGGTGCTCCGCACAGGCCCCTCACCCCACGTCTGCTCTCTCTAGCCCGGCTGGGTCCCTGCCAGCAGCTGCTCTGGAGGTGGGGTTCCGGCTGCCCCTCAGAACCCAGAATCCCTGCGTGACAGTCATGAATTTTGGTGCTATTGTGGGGGCCAAACTGATCAAAACTCCCCCCTTTACCATTTCAATGCATAGTTTGAATTGAGAATTAGTTTAACTTGCACAGTAGCAATACCATGCTATTTTACAATGATCGGTTTTCATTCCTGTGTTTACTGCTAAACAGAAATTTAGCTCCTTCACACACATTTACTTAGATAGCTTTACATCTTAGCCTCAAAATGCACACAAAATAAAAGAAGTTGCCAAGTTCATTAACAAGCATAGTGACTACAGTAAAAGGTGCTGGGCCATCCTTACGTGCTTGCCCTCTGCACTGCTTCCTCAATGTCTAAAATTGGGCATTTGCGTCAAAATCAGTTCTGTGCTGCAGATATAGGTATCTGGATTTGAGGTAAGAATGTGTGTGTGTGTGTGTGTGTGTGCAATAAAAGGAAGCCTCAATTATGGTGATGGCACACGGGTGACTTGGTGATGGGAAACCCGCGGGGATTACAATTGAGATGGAAAAAAAATGTACAAAATGATGTAAAAATAAACTTTTGTAATAAAAAAAAAGGAGGGGCATATTAAAA